TCGGTCCCCAGCATGGAGCCACGCGGTCGTCGGCACTTGTGGCGGCAGTGGCAGTGGGCCGGCCGGGGTAGCCGGGAGGCAGCGGCCGGTCACTGATGCCGGCTGCGGGACTGCACTGTTGTTGCCCCGGTCCTTTTGCTTTAGGGTCTGCCTCACTGCTTTGCCCCGGTTTGGCTCCCCCACCCTGGTGTGGCTTAGTGTCTCCCGCAGGAGTCCCCTCCCTGCTCTGCCATGGGACAAGCCTGGCCATGGAGGTGGTGATCATCTTCCGGGGGCCTCTGCCCAGTCTGCCTGAAAGGCTTTGTCACCTGTCTTAGCTTCCTGCTGGGCAGTTCCAGCTCTCCCTTCCCAGACCTAAAAGCTGTGCTGTGGGACCCCTGTGTCTTCTGGGTGGAAACATCCTCCCTGAAGCACGTCCCCTTTGACAGGCTGCCAGAGCCCAGGGAGAGCAGGCCACACCATGTTCAGAGCACTTGGTTTATCTTCTGCCCCTTTTTAGGTAAGATCTCCTTGTTCTCTGTTCTTGCTGTTAGCCACAAGATCATGGGCCCGATCCCTGGGTCTGACAAAGCTCAGCCTTATGTGAGATCTGCCATGTGTGGCTCCAGGGGACAGTCCATGGAGCCATTCTGGCAGCAGGAGATAGCTGGAACCAGGTGTGCCGTTAAATAAACCATAGTTAACTAGATAAAAGGAATTATAGAGGTGGAAACCTGAGCAAAACTAGTTGGAAATAAAAACATTACAGGCATGAGGTTTCCCAAGATATATGCTGTTAGAAGTCAAGCTCTCGCAGGAGGAGCAATGTGGGGAGAGTCTGATGCTAGTATTCAAACAGTACAAGAGTCTGATGCCAGTATTGAGAAGGTGTAAGCGCCAGACCAGTGGGGCGAGACGTGTGATGAAGTTAACTTTCTCTAGACAGGCATTTAAAAAGTCAAAACGTTCATGAATTCTTCATGGGAGCCGCTAATAACTGTTCTAAAAGTGTGGGGTTTTCCTGTAAAAATTATCTCTCTTGTTAATAGCTGTGCTTTTTTTTTTCC